GAACAGCCCGTTCTGCACCCTCTCATCACGTACAAAAATTACATGCAGAATGGCTCGTTCTGAAATCAGAACGGCCCGTTTTGGGACTCATCCAGAATGGCCCGTTCTCCATCCAGAACGGCCTGTACTCCCTCTGGAATGGCCCGTTTTGGGGTTTGGAATGGCCCGTTCTCCCTCCAAAATGGTCCGTTCTCAACTACGTTTCATAGGTCAATTCGGTAGTTTGGAATGGCCCATTCTAGTTTGGGAACGGCCCGTTCTGGGCTACTGAATCACCCATACTGGGCTTTTGGGCCTTCTCAAACAACTTGCTACGTTACATGTGACGACGCATTAGTTGATGTTGCATGTGTTGTTGTATTCAAGTTATATATAATGTTGTATGAATGAGTTGATAGTTGAGCTATTGTGATAAATATTATGTGATTGTGTTGTGATGAATTGTTGATCACTAGGACTAGAGGAGCAGTTTTCAAATTTGCTCATCCCATTGTGTAGATTGAGATAGTTGTGGTGCTTTGAGCGCACAATTTGTTTAAAAATCCTCCTTGGAAATTTGTTCCTTGGAGTGGATGATGTGTTGTTCTCCTCTAGGCTTGGTTAAACAACATACAACACTCTGTTTCATCCTTCAACAAAACTTTAACTTAGCTAGCTCTCACCAACAACTCATCTTGTAACTGAGGAAATACCAACTCCCTATTGGCACAATCTATAAGAATCTGATTGACAGACAATCAATCCATCCCTAAGATCATGACAATATCGACTAAAGGTAAATATATCAAATTTACCTTATACTTCCTATCACCCAACTCCAATGAACAACCAACGCATCACTCCACAACTCTCCACCAGTACTCAGCCTCGCCTGCCAGCATGTAAACTACATAGGCCAACTTTCTCTCCTCAGAAGATCACAAAACACTGAAGATCTCCTCCATCTCACACAACCACTAATCTACCACATCAGGATCTGATTCCCCCCTTGAACTGAGGAGGCTAACATCTCCTGAACTCTACTAAATCTCTCCCATCTTGAGAGACCACCGGTCTAGCTGCCTCATCCATAGCTCTACCCGCCTCCATCTAAGCAAAGTGAGCACTCTACTGCTGCATCGCAATGGCCATCATCTCCATGGCTTTAGCGATCTGATCATATTGAGGCTTCATCATACTAAAAGAATTCAAACATTCTTTTACTAACACTTTACCACTACAACTCACCAAAATTAACACATATAAGAGATATGACACAACAGAAACCTAGAAGGATCACTCCCCACAGAGTATCCCAAAAGACTCGACCGGCTCTGATACCATAAAAGTGTAACGACCCGCCATGGTCTCTACACTTAGTGGAATCGCACTACTACTAGTGATCTAAGAGAAATATTAAGTTGGATAACTCATACATACATGTACAATTAAAAATGAAAATAACTAAGTTTTTGGTTATAAAATAAAACTCCATATATGTACAGTCATCCCAAAAGTAATATTCCCTAGTGCCGATCAAGTAAAGATAAAACCGTTACCCAAAATGGTAACTCTAACACGAGGATCAAAACTCCCCATCTCGCAGCGGACACCTCCACTCCAAGCTAGCCCTGACCTGCTTCCATACCAAGTATGATCATCGCAGTTCCACCACATGGAAATAGAAGGGTAAGATAGAGTTCAAAACCAATCATACAAGTACAGACAATAGTTTATACCACACAATCATCCAACTATCAATCATGTTCATAGAGTTACACCATACTCTATCCAATACTACTCATGTATAACATACAATCCCTCAATCATGGAGCTAAACACCATACTCTTCATCATATTAACAATCATGTAATAAATGTATCTCACGACAGATATTAATGCATATCAATCATCATCACAAACAACCATACAGCTCAACATGAAAACCCAACTTATTCATACAACTTAGAAACAACTTTAATACAACAACAACAATAATATAAAAATATTTAATGCATCGTCATGCATGTACAACTGGGAGATCACCAACAACTGAGGTTGAGCAGTCTAGGTGGCATAAACCCTACCGAATCCAGTGTTTAACCTATCTCAACCAGGTTAGGTATAGAACAACATTAGGAACTCCGAAGAGAACTAGGTATAGACAACAATAGTTGATTGCTCAGGTGTGCAACTTAGACTCGGAGGTTCAGTACTACTGTCTAGACAGAAGGGTTTGCGTATAAGCCTACCACGGCCTTGGCTAGCATCACCAATCCACATGTGGAGTTAGCCCACCCACTGTCCTCCAAGTACCACACACCCTCCAGTACCTAGTCAAAGACTACATCTCTAACTAGATACCTTACTCAAATTGGTCATTCAACCATAACATGGATCGACTATTTCCATGTCACCCACACAGTACTAAGGGATTCAACTTTAAAACAACTTTCAACTTTTCACCTTAGTACTATGTATCTCAGCATAGGACATATATCTTTACCATATGTCCCCAATTTTTCAACTTTACAACAATAGACACCATAACAACTTTACAACAATAAACATCTGGCCGCTTGTAATCGGTATAGCTCGGCCTGGCCCCTATACCGTGGTCGCTTTGTGCACGCGTGCCTCGACCTTGCCCGCACACGAGATCAACTAAGTCCTAGAGGAGAACAACACAACGTCAACTCCAAGGAACCCCCAAGGAGGGTTTTTTTTATAACAAATTGGGCTCTCAGAGCACCACAACTATCTCAATCCACACAATGGGATGAGCAACTTCGAAAACATCTCCCCTAGTCCTAGTGATCAACAACTCAGCATCACAACTTAATCAGCTTAACAACTTAAACAACATACAACTTTTCAGCAATAAACATCTTAACAACAATAGATAACTTACAACCATACAACAATAGGCATTATATACCAGCTTGACAACTTCTTATTTAATCATACAACTATGCAACTTTAATAATTTTAACAACATGCAAACAACTTAATTAAACAACTATAGTCATTACAATATCAACTTAATGCAGCTTAACAACTTTATAAATAACTTCAACAATATACAACATATTTAAAATTCATCTATCATGTCAACTTACACATAAATAGCATAAATCAACTTAAGCACCCAACAACTCAACTATTTCAACAAAAGAACATCATGCATAAAGTTTCTCTAACTCTCCTGAAATTAAACAACCTACATTTTAGCTTCCCTCACCTGAAGATTGGCTTAAAATAGCCAATAACTGAGAAGAAGTAGAATTCCCTTCAGAAGCTCAACCCGGAACTTCAATCCTCCCAAAGCAAGCTTCCTAATCTGATTTTCAAGAAAAGACAGAAGGCATTAGTGATCTAGAGAAGAAAAGAAATCATACAGAGAAATTTGGGAGAGAAAGGAGCTCACAGACCCAGAGTCCTTCTCTCTAAAACTTCTCTCTAAAAACTTTACTTTCTCCTCAACCACCAACCCCCTATTTATAGAAGTTCCGGAGTGGCCAGAACGACCTGTTCTGAATCCAGAACAGCCTGTTCTGCACCCCCTCATCACGTACAAAAATTACATGCAGAATGGCTCGTTCTGAAATCAGAACGGCCCGTTTTGGGACTCATCCAGAATGGCCCGTTCTCCATCCAGAACGGCCTGTACTCCCTCTGGAATGGCCCGTTTTGGGGTTTGGAATGGCCCGTTCTCCCTCCAAAATGGTCCGTTCTCAACTACGTTTCATAGGTCAATTCGGTAGTTTGGAATGGCCCATTCTAGTTTGGGAACGGCCCGTTCTGGGCTACTGAATCACCCATACTGGGCTTTTGGGCCTTCTCAAACAACTTGCTACGTTACATGTGACGACGCATTAGTTGATGTTGCATGTGTTGTTGTATTCAAGTTATATATAATGTTGTATGAATGAGTTGATAGTTGAGCTATTGTGATAAATATTATGTGATTGTGTTGTGATGAATTGTTGATCACTAGGACTAGAGGAGCAGTTTTCAAATTTGCTCATCCCATTGTGTAGATTGAGATAGTTGTGGTGCTTTGAGCGCACAATTTGTTTAAAAATCCTCCTTGGAAATTTGTTCCTTGGAGTGGATGATGTGTTGTTCTCCTCTAGGCTTGGTTGGTCCCGTGTGTGGGCAAGGTCGAGGCACACGTGTATGAAGCGACCACGGTATAGGGGACAGGCCGACCTATACCGATTACAAGCGGCAAATTTGAATAAAGTGTGATGTGTTGAAAATGTTGTTATTATTAGATGATATTGTGTACCTATTGTTGTAGGTGTTATGTTGCTTTATGTTGCAAGCTGAAAGTAGAATTCTATTGTTGTTTATTATATTTTGATGCTATTTTTTTATGTTTATTGTTGTGAGCTTACCCTAGCGTGTTTTCCCTATGTGGTTGGGACTGCAATGGCCATACCTTGGTATGCGAGCAGATCGGATAGGTGTTCTGCTGGACTGGGTGAGCTTCGAGACTCAGGAGGAGAGCTAACGTTGTAGTTAGTTGATTGGTAGCTTTTGACTACCTAGTTGTTGTATAGGGTATTATTTCCCTACTTTCAGTTGTATATATATTGAGACTTTTTAGTTGTGTATTCTCATTATATATTAAATGGTTTAGTGGTGAGATGTTATTTTTATGCTTGTATTTGGACGCTATAGACAGTGTGAGACCTGGCGGGTTGTTACACTTTTTTGGTATCAGAGCAGGTCGAGCCTAGTGGAAACTCTGTGGGGGTGATCTCATTAGGCTTCCGTTATGTAGTTCTTTGTGTTGTGTTGTTAAGTTGTGGAGTGATGCGTTGGTTGTTCATTGGAGTTGGGTGATAGGAAGTATAAGGTAAATTTGATATATTTACCTTTAGTCGATATTGTCATGATCTTAGGGATGGATTGATTGTCTGTCAATCAGATTCTTATAGATTGTGCCAATAGGGAGTTGGTATTTCCTCAGTTACAAGATGAGTTGTTGGTGAGAGCTAGCTAAGTTAAAGTTTTGTTGAAGGATGAAACAGAGTGTTGTATGTTGTTTATTGTTGTGAATGTGGAAAAGAGAAGATTATTGGTGAAATTGAAGTGGTAAGGAAAGCTAGATTGTATGTTGTTTGGTTATATGCGAGTTTAGGAACTCATATGGAGTAAGAATTTTTGAGAATCCATAGTTGGATTGGAGAAATTGTTCATTTGGAGTTTTGATGATTTCAATGCGTTTGAGGAATGGATGTTGAATTTGAGTTGTTTTTGAGTTGTAGAGAGCCTATGCAGTGTTTTCTTTGTTTGCATGTGGTTGGTTTTTCCTGATTTTCAGGATTGGAGCATGTCGGGCACAAGGTGGGTGCTCTGGGCATGGAGGCTCTTATGAGTTTCTATTCCAAGGTTGTCGAGCTCGAGCTGAGCGCGCCGAGCGTGAATGAGTTTTAGGCCACTAATATATGAGAGTGGTGCTCAGGTAGGCCACTGGATTTGGGAGAGTGGTGCTCAGGTAGGCCACTAGGTTGGGTGAGTCTCCTCTAAGTCCTTAGCTAGTGTTGGAGTGGAGTTTGATGTCGAGTGTATCTTCATGGGATGCTCCTGTGTTGTTGGTGAAAACAAAGATGGAGGTAGCTGGTTGTGTGTATATTGTAGACAGTTGAATAAATTGTCTATCAAGAACAAATATCCGCTTCCTAGGATAGATGACTTGATTGATCAGCTTAAAGGAGCATCGTTATTTTTGAAGATTGACTTAAGGTCAGGATATCACCATATCAGGGTGAAGGAGGGTGACATACCTAAGACTGCATTCAGGACTAGGTATGGTCATTATGAGTATGTTGTAATGCCGTTTAGGGTGACCAATGCCCGAACAGTGTTCATGGATTACATGAATAGAATCTTCCAACCTTTCTTGGATAAATTTGTGGTGGTGTTCATTGATGACATCCTTATTTATTCAAGAACCCCGAAGGAACATGGAGAACACTTGAGGTTGGTGTTGGAAATTTTGAAAGAAAAACAATTGTATGTGAAGTTGTCAAAATATGAATTCTAGTTGGAAGAGGTGAAGTTCTTGGGTCATGTTATTTTAGCAGAAGGAATTACAGTTGATCCGGCTAAGGTGGAGTCGGTGTTACAGTGGGAATGCTCAAGAACTGTCACGGATATTCGAAGCTTTGTGGGTTTAGCGGGTTACTATATGAAGTTCATTAAGGGATTCTCCAAAATAGTAATGCCTCTAACCCAGTTGGCTAGAAAGGACTATCCTTTCATTTGGACAGATGCATAGAGTTTTGAAGAATTAAAGAAGGGGTTGATTACTTCTCCTATGTTGGTGTTGCCTGATCCTAGTGAGTCATTTAAGGT